AAGCGAAAGTGATTGAACGTACCATATTTGGTCATCTGGATCTAATGACGAAGAGATGAGGAATCCAACTCATGGAGCGATGTTTGCTCAATATGAAGAGGTTGTGTCTAAGGATGAGAAGGTCACGGGGAGATGTTTTGTATCTACCAGCGCAAATAAGTCACCCATGACTTTGAAGGTACATTCCTTTTTTTAATCTTTTAATATTCCTTTAAGTTCTTATCTTACAATTTTATTTGATTTTGATTATACTCTCTCATATGTTAATGACATGTTGATTTCTGTTAGTAGTGAAGTTGAACGTTCAAAAACGTTGTTGTTAGATGTTCAAAATCGTTTGGAGATTAAGAAGAGGAAGACTGAGAATCTAGAGCTACATTTGAGAAACTTAACTTAAGATAATGATTCAATGAGAGATTACAATATGATGTTAGTTAAGCAAAGAAACATTTATTGTAATAGTGTTAAATGTTTGTATGCGAAACTTACTAAACTTCATCACTCTTTTAATATCTGCAAAGAACAACATAGGAAATTATTACCTTTTTTATAATATAAAAGAGAAAAAGTTGATACCACTTCTTATGATTGCGAAAATAAAATCTCTGAATTTGATAAAATGCCTAATGACTCATATGCTTACGGAATAGTCAAAATTGATGAATGCTTGAATGTTTATGATTTAGTGCATATAATAAATGAAACTCTAACTAAAAATCAACAAGTTAAAATTTTGAACATGACTGAGAATTCGACATTAGACACTCAACAAAATTTTACTGATATCGAAGATGATTCTGATAATATTAGTGAAATTTTAGAAGAGGAAACTATTGATTGTTCTTAATTAGCTGCCATTAATGTCAATTCGATGGGGAAGGTCAAAGAAATTTATCATGGTTCAATGGCGATGGTTAATAGTGATCAACCTTCTACATCGAAAATTTATGATCCTTTAATCATGTTGTTGTAGAAGACTGTGATAGTGATAGTGATGAGGATGATGTTTCGCATGAAACAACTATTCCTTGAGCGGTAGTCGAACAAGTTTATGATGAAACAGAGCAGTTCGCAAAGGTGCTGAAAGATAAAGGTCCACATTATCTTGAATCAAATTCAGTTGTCTATCCGTCTTTCAAATGCATAGATGTTGTTGTATTTCCAAACCAAGTGTTTGCTACAACTGGAAATGGTGATAAGGTGAATCCTGAAATAAACAAACTTGTTGAAGAAGACAATCAAAAAGTGACTAAAGAAGGTTTCTTTTCAAAGATAAAAACCAAAACGAGTTTGGGAAGTAAAACCTGAAAAACCAAAAGTTGATAATCAAACAAAAGAAACTGTTTTGAAATCTCAAAAGACAAAATCACAAATTTTCAATTAAAGCGTTCAAAAAGTTGTGAAATAAGGCGTTTCAACTTCAAAAGCACGAAACAAAGTTTATTGAAAAAATGTCAAAGCTTTTCAAAAACAAAAAGTCTTGAAGCAAAAATTAACTGAATAAGTTAAGATGTTTTCTAAAAATAAGAAGTTTGTTCAAACCAAGTCATCTCAAAAGCAAAATGATTTTCCAAAAGGTCGATCTAATGTTCAAAAACAAGTTCGACCTCAAAATGTTCGAAAACAAATTTCACCACAAAATGGTCAAAAACAAGTTTCACCTCAAAATGTTCAAAAGCAAGGAAATGAAAATTTTGTTCAAAACCAACGTCCAAGGAATTTTGGTTCAAATTGTGAAAATGTGAGGTTTTTTAAAAACAAAGATCAAATGAATTTTGTTCAAAATAATGAACAACAACATTTCAATCAAGCTTTTTGTCAAAGACAATTTCAACAAGAATCAATATCACAATCGTTTTCAAAATTCTCCAAAAACGTCTTTTCCAAAACGAAATTTTGAAAAATTGTATGGCAAGGGGAAGAAAAATGAACCACTTAAGCCCACAAATCCACACTTTCAAAATCCTTAGTCAAAGCATCGTATGCGAAAGGACGAAATGATGTGAAAATTTTCAATCATTGGCTGGAAGGTACAGGGAAGCAATATCAGTCGGGAAAGTACTCTCAAGAGCAAATCAAATCTGCTTACGAAAGCTACTCAAACGATTCGCAGAAGGGTAGTTCTTCATCAGTGGAGTCGAATCCCTCAGTGAAAAAGTGGAAAGAAATTCCTTTAGATGAGAAATTTTTTTTAAGGATATTGAATGGGTTGGGAATGATTGAAGCAAGCTTCGTTCCTGGTTCACATGAGTGAAAAGATGCCAATGTGGTTGGAATCTTGCTGAAGCATTTAGAGGTTACTGTTCACGGTTCAGCGTTCGCATACGTTCGCTTTCGCATTTCCTCTTAATCATTCTTACATCACTTTGCATTAAGGGGATATAAGCTGATCGATGTACAATGTCTTTGGTAGTTACTACTTACATCAAATGTCACTGATAACACTATATTACTTTTTTTTTTGTCTTTAGTTTATTTTTTTCTTTTTTCCAAAACAAAAATTACAAAAGATTTTCTTCATTTTTCTTTAAATTTCAAATTCAAAAACTCAAAAATATTTTCTTCATTTTTGTCTTTCATTTGCAAAAGCAAAAATCCAACAAGATTTTCTTATTTTTGTCTTTATTTTTAGAAAACAAAAATCCAAAAATATTTTCTTGTTTTTCTTTCGTATTGTGTTTAACCGTTTGTGGCTCATTGTAAAAACATGCTTTGGTGGCGAATTCCCAACGATCACATTCAAAAGAGGGATAGGTATGATTTCACACTAATGTACTAGTTAGGCGTCCGTAGAAGCATGTTGTTATATGTTGACCTCAAGCCTCAAAGACTTTATGTGTTCAAAGCCTTAATGGATCTCTCACTACGAGTGTTCCTTTCCAGTCAGGCTATATTCACATTAGTCAAAGAGCTACCTTTCTCTTCTCATTCTGAGTAAAGAGATTTCTGCTTAGTCCATATTTTTCGCAGAGGTACAATGAGTTTCCTTAACCAGTCTTTTTCACCAAAACTTTCTTCACGATCACAAACATCACTGAATATCCTTGACATCTCTGGTAAAAACCAACCAGAATGTAGATATTGCACAAGTCTATGTTTATGATCCTGATTCATTTTTCCGTGATGATGGTAAAACCCAACAATCCCAACTTTAAGGCATTGACGGTGAACATTTTGTCTAAGATTATAACGAAACATTTTTTTCAGTACCACTTTTCGATATTCAAAATCATATTCCTTTCGTTTTGCGAGATCTTGAAAAAATGCTCTATAACCAAGACATTTTTGCCCAACAAGATCCAGCTCTTGAATTTCTTTTGGAATATGATTTCCGTCTTAATATATTTTTGAACTCTTGTCACTTCGCACGTTATCCAAGCTTACTTGTTCTTGACTACACTGGTCATCCAAGTAATTTTGTTCAAACAACTCACACTTATGTTATGTTCTCGTTTTAAGCAAAAGTGTGCCTACCTAGGAAACCTATAGAAAAAGAGGCCCTTCGATGCTCATTAATGAGTATTATATTGTACTTCACAGGGAACCAAGCAAGAAGTTCGTCACCACTCTTGATGTCGAATGAAGTGATCTTTGCCCAGGATCGAACTGCTTTCACATCAAATGCTATTTGATGTCACTAATCGCACATTTTTTTTATTCCCACTTTTTGTTTGGCACACATTTGCACTGGAATCCTTGAGGTTTTTGGTACTACCAATTCAAAACCTAGATTTCGCAAAGTCTGTAAAATGATTTTGCTTTCCAATCCCAAAAGCGAATTAGCCTAACCTCAATATGAAGGCCTGGTGTTCTGTTCATGTCAAACTCACATGGTGTACTTGATCTACAGTGCGAAACATATGATAGTTCTTATCTTATTGGGAACAACGAGAAATTCGGCGGATGTGACGGTTCAGTATTTCACAGGATTTTAGGAAATTGTGATGATCACTTTTTCTGACATGGCAACTTTTACGGAAACCGGTCCCATAACCAGTGCAACACGTGGCATAATCTGATTGGTTACCGGTTCAAATTCCAATTATCAGTCGACTATAAAAGGAATTTGGTGGTGGTATTTGAAGATTTTATACTCTCTTATCATTTTTTCCCTAAATTTCTCCAAAGCTTATACTCTTCAAACAATTTCTGCAAACCCTAACAATGGATGCCCCTACTAGTAATTTTGATCCTTCCAACACCACAAATGAAGAAAAGACTTCTCAGCCATTGCTAAAGATTCAAAGTACCAATCTTCATTTACTACCAGATGTTACTCAATATCCAGAACAGTTGCATATGCTGATTGTAGCCCTAAATCACTCTATTCTCTCAACTGTCTTATCGTTGTCGTTTTATGTTCCTATGATATGGTTATCACTTATGGGTTCAACGGTGGTTTTCAATAAAACCACGAAGATCGTAACTTTTAAATGACGAACAACAAATTGCAAAAGCTTACGAAGCGATAGTTTCCTCAGACCATGAAGTTACCATACACAGGTCCTTTCTATGAAGTTACAAATGAACAAGTTCTTTTTATGTTTAATGAGATCGGTCATCAACGTGCTCTTACTGGGATAAGTCAAATTTTCAAATCTTCTCTTCCCTATATGTGGAATTTTCTCTTTGTTATTGTACTACGATACTTAATAGGCCGTAGTTCAGGGTTAGACAGAGCGAAGTTGGAGGTATATGCTATGATTGCTGGGCTTTATTACGATTTAAATGTTGATTATGTGACTCAAATTTGGGAAGAGTTTGGTACAACAATCACACACACTAATGTAGCGAATGATGTTTCATGTGCAAGGTATTGGAGTTTAATTCTCAGGGATGTATATGAAAAGGAAGGGATTTTGGTTCCCTTAGAAGATGTGAAGGCGGAGTTCTCGACTTTTTAGGTTCCTAAAGTGATAATTGAAGATCCAACTCTTTTTCCAAATATTGCTTGTATTCTAGACACAATGTTATGACGAATTGCTCCTAAAAACCCAATTATGGTTCATTATTTGGCATATATCAACACAAATGTCACGGTTGGAGTTCTTTTGCGAAAATGGACTGAGGATTCATCAAACGTTGTGAAAGTTCAAAAGAAAAAGAAGAAGACTGAACAACCAAAACATGTTGAAGAAAACGTGGAGAAGGAAGTTTCAAAGCCTGTTGAGGAGAATGTGGAGAAGGGAGTTTCTAAGGAAGTCATTCCTTCAAAGTCAGGCATTTTCAAAAGAAAAAAGAAGCCTGCTCACAGACCTCGTCATTCTCCTGAAAAGCCATCTGTTCCAGAAGTTGAAGTTGAAAACCCTACCTAATCCCAACATTCTTCCAAGGGGGTAAAGAAAATTCACAAACCTCAACTTAACAGAAGAGGTGTACTTGTTGGCGAAATTCCTGCTCCTGTCTCACCAGCTTCCAAGAAATGTCAAGCACAAGAGATGGTTAAAAGCTTAAGAAGAAACAGAGAAAAATTGAAGTCCCTCTTGATATATTTGTTGTCGAATCAGATCATGGCAGTGATAGCGAAAGCTCTGAGATTTACATTGATGATACTGACTTTGGTTCACCTCAAAGGGATTCTCCAGTTAAGTCGACTTTCGAGGAGGCTGGAAGTCCTGTTGCAAGTGTACACGTATCTAATATAGATACAAACACTAATTTGAGTGATCCTCCATTACTTCCATCCCTAAGAAGGAAATAGTCATACCACCCGAGGTTTTGCAAACCAAGTCCTTTTTAGAGGCGGTTCGTACCTCAGACATCCATGTGCGCGCATCTGATGTGAACACAAATGTCACTATGGGTGAAGGGGTGATGACTAATGAAGATAATGGTTCTTCCCATCCTGAAACATTATATATTTCTACATCCTTAATTCTTTCATCTACCAATGAAACCACACTTCTTGATACCTCAACTTCTCTACTACCATTATCTTCTCTTATCCCTTCATCATTTCCTACTTCCATTATCTCACCAACATATTCAACCATCATGCATAAATCCATAACTACTCTCTTCTCTTCACAATCCACAGAGCCAGAGAGATTAGTATGATGAAGAACCAAATGATAATGAAGTTATGGTTTTGTTTGCAGATTTACAGTTTCATCCTGAAGAGGACAATGTTCCTGATAATATGTTGATGTCAGGCAAAGAGTTTAAGATTCTCAACAACAAGCATAGAAATTTTGTTTCTGGGATTGAAGTGGAGTACATGTTCAAATCTTAGAAGAATCGTCTTAAAACTGTGACGGAAAATATTAAGCAACAACATGTTGAAAGATTGAAGCTTCATGCCAGCAATTTTGAGTATGAGATTTCAAAGCTTCATGAGGTGGCAAAAGAGTGTAATGAAAATTTGGTTGAACAGATTAAGAAGGTGGAAGAATCTGTTAATCATAAGGTGGCAGAGCTAAAATATGAGATGACCAAAGATGTGGAGAAGATTGAGAAGAACTACTCAGTTCTTCATGGCAAAGTTGACGTTATTGTTGATGTATTTGCCAAGATAATTGAGTACAATTATTCTTAATCAACTAAGCTTGATGCCAAAACAGAATCAGATTTGCAATTCTTTCAAAATTGGAGGACTTTTTAAGCAACATTAAGGTATCCATTTCACAAGTGGCTCTTTCAAACCAATCGTCTATTTTCCAAGAAACAATCACTCATAAAATTTCATCCATTAAAGTTAATCTCAAAAAGGAACAGGCTCCTATCCTTGAGTTGGTTCTTCTTTTACCAATAAATGCTCCACCACCGAAGCAAGTGTCACAAGGGGGAGAAAAAGGATGCAGAGGAGTTGGACCTTCTAAAGATGCTGATAAGGGTGTAGTTGTTGGAAGTGTTATTTTTACACAAATATCCACTTAAGTTTCAGTCTCTTTGACAACAACTTCGACGCCTACCACAAAAAGACCATCAACAAAAGGAATTGTTAGTAGCAATAGTGGTGGAGACTCTTGGTCGAGCTCTAAACCACCTCCATCGAACGACAGCCAGGGAGATAAAGGGAAAGGTGTCGAAGTAACTTTGTCTAAAGAAGAAAAGAAGAAGACATTAGAGATGGAGATTGAAAGACAAAGATAGATCAATAGTATTCTGAGGAAAAGACAATGATCCACCAGGTTTGAATAAGGGTGATCCCAACAAACACTTGTTCTATGAAACTATTGAGCAAGTTGTTTCGTTAAGGAAGATGGATGATTTTCGCAAGGTTCCAAAGAAAAGTTATGATGTCGAAAACTCAAAGTTCAATCAACTCGATTTTCTTATCAATCACATGACCTATATTTCCTCTCAGTACAAGTTGGTTGATCACTTTAAAGACAAAGAAGAGCATAAAAGAATGAAGATGAGATTTTATGTTGTATTGGGCAAAAGCGAAGAGGAGATTTAGTCTGTGAGTTCTCTGAAGATCATCAACGTGATGGCAATCACTCGGGAAAACTTATTTGATGGAATTGTTCAAAATTTTCATTATGTTGTGGTAAGAGAGAACAATGTAGTCTGTGAGTTCTCAGTTGCAGACTTCCCATTGATGAATCTAAATGACTTGGTCACAGTGACATCGAGTCTTAGCAATGTGGATGTATTGAAACTACCAGAGGATAAGAAGGATGATTTTCGCATCGGCTTCGCTCATATCAAAGTCTTTATTGATAGTTAGTATGATTGCCTCGCAATCACAGATATCGAGCTTGCCATGGTCGTCAACAAGCATTTAAAAATTTCTCAGTCTTTGTTAAAGGGGAAGGTTAATATAGACAAATATGAAGATGGAGAAATTATACATCAGCCTCCGGGGAAGGTTAATTTCTCAGTCTTTGTTAAAGGGGAAGGTTAATATCTAGCTTGCCAGGACAAAGTTTTTGTTCCAACTTGCTAATGTTGAGAGATACAGGAATGTCCAGTATACAAGTCTGCTTCTATGAATCAATAATTGCAAAAAGAATAGTGCACAAGGCAGAAATTTGGAAGACTATTCTTTGGTACATGGATATTCGTAGAGTACTTATCCAGACAATAAAGCTGATGACGTGATTTCGACTCGTCTCACTAAGGGGAAGATTGTAGAGTGCAAATTGTCTAGTGAGAGGTTGAAATTTTTTTTGGTCTGTATAGGTGTGAAGTCTGGTACTTCGCAATGTATGTATTTTGCAATGCATTTGTTGTGTTGTATTTTCACGTCTAGTCCTTGCATATTTTTTTAGTGTCTCTATCACCCTATAAATAGGGTTAGTACAGAAGCTGAGAGATAGCTTTGGGGACTTTTGTTCTTACACTCTCTAGAACTTTTGTACTCTTTCAGACAAATCAACGAGCCCAACAGATATTATATACGATCTTGTTCTTAATGCTTTCTGCTGTTGATTTCATTTTCTAAACTCGATTCAAACTAACTCTTCAAGAACCCTAATTGATCATCGCTTCAACATTCTTCAAATTCTCTCAATTCTCTTTAATGGTCGCTACTACTCGCAATGCTAATCCAACAACAACCAACGATGAAGAAATCTTGCAACCTATGATGAAGATTCAAAACATTAATCTTTGTCTTGTTCCCACACTTGATCACTACCCAGAGGAGTTAAGGATGTTGGTTCAAACATTGAAAAAATTTGTTCTTTCATATGCTTTTCTTTATCGTTTACCCACTTCAGATACTTTCTATGAAGTTTTGAATGATCAAGTGATTCACATGTTCAACGAGATAGGAAATCAACCTACCCTTACGGCAATTCGCCACTTTAAGAAGTCAAGTATTCCTTATGTTTAGAGTTTCATTTTTGGAATCATTCTACGGTGCTTGACAGGAAGAAGTTATGGGCTTCACAAGGCTAAGCTCGAAGTTTACTCAGTCATGGTAGCATTATACTATTCTTTGAATTTGGATTATCCTTCACATCTATGGGAAGAGTTTGGAACTTTGATCTCACCCACGACGCTATCAACTGGTGTGTCGAGTGCTCGATTTTTGGGATTAATTCTTATGAAGATATACACGCAGGAGGATATTATGTTTCCTTTCGGTGTAGATAGTGCAGAATTTCCAACAATGGTTGCTCCAAGAATTTATGTGGACGATGATAATGATTTTCCCTATGTTGCTCACATTTCGGATTCGAGGCTCAAACTTTTGGATCCCAAAAATCTGTTGTTGGTACAATATTTGCCCTCTATTTATTCTTCTAATCAAACTGGGGTTCTTCCATCAAAGGGGTTAGAAGGAATATCTAAAGGCTCGAAGGCTCAAAAGAAGAAGAAACAATTTGAAAAGAAACAAGTGATGGAGGAGGATATTGTTACATAAACTATTCCCATAAAAACTGGGTTTCTTAAGCGAACGAAGAAACCAGAAAAGAAGCCTCCTTAATCTCCAATCAAGACAATTGTTCAAGAACCTGTTGTCGAAAGCATTGAGCCCACTGTAGTCGAAACCTCAAATCCTGTTTTTTCCTAGGGTGGTCCAAAGAGGGTTAAAAATATACAATTTACCAGGAAATAAGTTCTTTTTTGAGAAGTTTTAGTTCCTGGGTCTCCAACATCGAAGAAGCATAGAGCGTTGGATGTTACACAATAGATAAAGAAGCAAAATCATGTTCAATTTCAAATTCCACTTGAGAACATGAAAGTCAAGACCGAGCATAACAGTGACATCGACAGGTGAAATATTCGAATCGAGGATTCTTATATTTGTTCACCGTGAATGAATTCCCCTGTCAACTCAACTTTCGAGGAGAGAAGGACTTATGGTGTCACTGTAAACGTATCTAATACAGATGCAAACATCAATTGGGGTGATCCACAACAAATAAATATCCCTAAGAATGATTTAATCAAACCATCCGAGGTTTCGAATACCGAATCTGTTAAAGAGGATGTCGGGACTCCATACATCACTGTAGACTTATCTAATAAGGGCACAAATGTCAACATGGATGAAAGGATGCTCAACAATGAATCTACTGTTACATCTACAGTCGACACATCAACATCTTTTCCACCACCATCATCACCCATTCCCACTTCAGTTCCAATTTCGACTATATCACCAGCATTCTTTGGTGTCATGCTAGAACCTATTGCCACTCTCTTCTCATCTCAATCCACTAAAAGTCACAACACGAAAATAAAGTTTCTGATGATGATGATGATGATTTCATGGTTTCGTTTGTAGATTTCAGTTCAACCCTGAAGAAGAAAATATTCCTGATGAAAGCATCATGTCCTATAAGGAATTTAAGATCCTCAACTCCAAAATTAATTCTCTTCTTCAAGTCACAGCAGATACTGGAGGAAAGAACTATGT